GTTTTCGGGGTCGCTGATTACGGATCCAGTATCAAATTTTTGAAATTCCTAAAAGTGGACCCTATATGGCGGCTTCATGAGATTTTTCGGGTCGACAATCATACACCTGAGTTCCGAGTTCAGACATTCATAATTTTCTAAACGTAATTGCCTACTATCGTATCAAAATTATGTTTTACACGTGATTCGTGTTTGAAAAACTGATAGAGGATAATCTATTGGACATACATCTATAAGCTGCTATTCTGGATTCACCATCGTGAGGTCCGAAATCTTGATTTCAGAATCATAATCAGTGACTCTGGTAACCTTTGTCTATTATTATATTATATTAAATATTATTATATACCTCTTCCCAAGTGGATTCCTCAACAAACCGCGATTCTAACCTAAAATAGTCGCCATATTGGATCCGCCATTTTGAATTTTCAAATTCTGATACCGGATTCGTGATCAGTGACGCCAAAAACCTATAGAAACACATTGATACCCATTGCAAGTCTAGCACAAAAATGTGCCCCTCAAAGGGTTAAGCAATGAATTTGTGTTTTTAAAATAGTAAATTTGTGTTTTAGAGCAGAGAATTTGTTTTTAACCAGTGAATTTGTGTTTGTAAAGTAGAGAATTTAGGTCTGTTTGCGTTGCTTGCACTTTTTGCTCAGCATGTTCGCTTTTTCTTTTTTCGACGACCAAATATATATCTATCTCATTTTAAGTTCAAAAATGTTTGGGGATTTCAAGCAATGCGAACCGATCTTTTGTATAGTTAAAGCAAAGAATTATTTTTAGAAATTAAAGTATCTTAAGTCGGATCTCCAATAGGTGTTTTAAGCCTTAAACTATAATTACAGTTGAATGCGAAAAGAATAATCGACTATGATTCGTCCATTTCTTATGGTTTAAGGCTTAAAAACCTATTGTTGATCCGAGCTATGTTAGCCTTAATTATCCGAGCCTTACCCCGGATCTACAATAAGTGTTTTAAGCCTTAAGCCGTAAGAAATTGACCAATTACAGTCGAATAAGCGACTGTGATTCACCCATTTCTTATAGCTATTGTAGATCCGGGGTTAGCAGAAAGCTGACTTATAATGGGCTTCCTACAATAAGTCATTGCCTAAGCTTAAGTCTTAAGTTATAAGAAATTGACCAATCATAATCGATTATTCTTCTTACATTCGACTACGATTGATTAATTTCTTATGACTTAAATAATAGCTTGTTGTAGAAAGCTCATAATCTTAAGACAGTATCTTATAACTTAAGTCTTATGTCTTTAGTAAGTCCGGATATACAATAGATGTTTTAAGCCTTAAGCCATAAGAAATTGACCAACTACAGTCGAATGCGAGAAGAATAATTGATTGTGATTCGTCCATTCCTTATGGCTTAAAGCTTAAAAATCTATTGTAAGTCCGAGGTAAGGATCGTAACAAAAAGGCTGACTTATAATCTTATGACAGTGTTTTATGACTTAAGGAGATCCTAAGTCCGGATCTACAATAGGGTTTTAAGCTTTAAGCGATAAGAAATGGGCGAATCACAATCAATTACTGTTTAATACTGCATTTTTTATTTTTACCAACATGAGAAAATACGGTATTAAAAAACTCTGAAAAAATTCTCAAAACTTTATGAGAAGAAAATTAATGATTTTTATCTGTTACAGTTTTTCTGTAAAGTTGATAGTATTTGAGTAAAAAATTATTGAAGACTAAGATTTGGCAATTTTTTTAGTAATTATCTTAACTATTACGAAAATTGCAAAATGGTGGAGGACTTTTCGACTCAGTTTAGTCCACTCTATCTACACAAAAGCGATTGGCTAAAACTTACGGGACACTCTGTATATGAAATATGTCTATACAAACAAATTACTAATTAACCGTGGATCAATACAAAAATATAATAAATTAAACGACTTCTTCCACGTACACAAGTTAAGTTTTGTGCAAGATCATAAATTGATCGATATTTATTAAATTATATAGAACCAAACGTTTCAGTCTGTCATCAGACCATTTTCAATGGTATTACATAGATTGTTACTATACAAAACAAGTCCGCTCTAACCATTAACGAAATATAAGTTAAAATTGACATTTAATTTTTATGTTCTATTTTAACGTAATATATGCATAGCTACTTACATTATCAGTGTAGTTCATAATTATATTATCCTTAGTGATGATATTTTTTATTGTCATTCCAATAACTCGACGCACCATTACCTGATACTGATAATTGACAAATTTATAATTCTTAGTATGACTCACTCAATTAATTAATTCAAAAAACTTTTTTAATACCGGACATAAAATTATTAAAATGTATCGTAAAACTTCGTAATACCTGCGTAAAATTATTAAAATGTATCACCAATTGTAATGCATATAATATCGTAGACATATTATACTTTCGTTTGTTCGTTTTAACGCCTATAACAATTATTGTGTGGTAAGCTAGGACAAACTGTGAGAACTGTCTCGTATGTTCTGAAACGACGTATTTATATCTTAGGCTAAAGCGACCATTATGTGATTACAAAACATCAATATCATAACATGTCAAGCACAGAAACATATGCTTCTGGAAATTTCTGTGTGTCATTCTGCCTGTTTAAACCGTTTTCTTGTTTTTTGATAAAAATCATTTCAGATGTCAGTCTTTTGAAAAGATATTGTTCTCTATCCATAATTTTTATATCATCCCAATTAAAATTGTGACCATTATTCATCTGATGTTCTGCTAAGACAGAACTGCAGTGTTTTTTATTTTTTGTATCTTGTTGATGTTCAAATATACGTGTGCCCATCTTCCTTTTAGTTTGGCCAACATAAGACACGTCACATTCTTTACAATTTATCTTATAAACAACACCTTTTTGTTCATTCGTCTTTAATTGATCCTTACCCAATTTAATAATAGAATTTAAATTATTATGTGCTTTAAACGCAACTTTTTTATTCATTTTGTGCGCAATATGGAAAAACTTTTCTGAAAAGTTGCGTATATATGGTACAAGAAAATAATAATTATTATTATTACTATTACTATCATCTAACATTTTATTATTAATATATAAATTTTTTCTTTTTGCTAATTTTTCAATTCTATTATTTATTGTAGAAAAAATCACATTTAACGGATAACCATTATTCTGTAGAACATCAACAAGTTCTATAATATTTTGTTCTTGGTAATCAGGATGAGCTAAAAAATTATTCGGTCCAACAAACTAACTATAATGCCTTTTTTTTGTTGGTCTGGATGGGATGATAAAAAACTCAGATAACGACCGGAATTAGTCATTTTTTTGTAATTATCAAATCTGATACAACCATCTTTAATTATGACCTTGACATCTAAAAAATTTACAGAATTATTTAAACCTTTATCGGGCGTAAAATTAATGCGATTGTGGTAACTGTTAAAAAGTTTTAAAACTGTTTCAATTTCATCAAAAGGCAAAGCAAGCAAAATGTCATCTACATATCTGAAATAAATGGGTACAGGAACATTTAAACGACTTAAAATGTCTGTCTCGAGATCTTGTATTACGAGATCTGCCAGGATGGGAGAGAGCGGTGAGCCCATTGGCAATCCAAAAACTTGTTTATAAAAAAGGTTATCAAATTTAAAAAATGTTGAATTGAATATCAAGGAAATTGCACTCATGAATTCATTTATAGAAATATTTGTATTTTTAGAGATATCTGACCATCTATTGCTAATACTAGTTAATATTAATTTTTCAGGGATATTTGTGTACATATTTTCTATGTCAAAGGACAAAATTTTATAATTGTCATTTAAGCTTTTACCATTTATTTTCTGCGCCAAATCATAACTATTTTTGATGTGACTAAAATGTTTATTAATACTTTTGTTTATTGTTTCTTTGATATAGGAGGATAATTTATAAAGCGGACAGTCAATGCAACTCACAATGATACGTAAAGGATTGCCACTTTTATGAATTTTGGGCACACCGTAACATCTCGCCAAATTACAATCTGTGACATTTAGTGATTTATAAGTTTGATCATTCAAATATTCCTTATCCTTCCAACGTTTTACTAATACATGTGTTTGTCGCGTTAGTTTGCTAGTTGGATCTTTCTTAATTTCAATGTAAGTTTCTTTATCTGATAATAACTTATTCATTTTATTCTTATAGTCTGATAAATTCATAACTACTGTGGAATTATATTTTTGTATCATCCCATCCAGACCAACAAAAAAAAGGTATTATAATTAGTTTGTTGGACCGAATAATTTTTTTAGCTCATCCTGAGTACCAAGAACAAAATATTATAGAACTTGTTGATGTTTTACTTAATAATGGTTATCCGTTAAATGTGATTTTTTCTACAATAAACAATAGAATTAAAAATTTAGCAAAAAGAAAAAACTTATATATTAATAATAAAATATTAGATGATATCAATAGTAATAATAATAATTATTATTTTCTTGTACCATATATACGCAACTTTTCAGAAAAGTTTTTTTATATTGCTCACAAAATGAATAAAAAAGTTGCGTTTAAAGCACATAACAATTTAAATTCTATTATCAGATTGGGTAAAGATAAATTAAACACGAATGAACAAAAAGGTGTTGTTTATAAGATAAATTGTAAAGAATGTGACGTGTCTTATGTTGGCCAAACTAAAAGGAAGATTGGCACACGTATAGTTGAACATCGACAAGATATAAAAAATAAAAAACACTGCAGTTCTGTCTTAGCAGAACATCATATGAATAAGGGTCACAATTTCAATTGGGATGATATAAAAATTATGGATAAAGAACAATATCTTTTCAAAAGACTGACATCTGAAATGATTTTTATCAAAAAACAAGAAAAAGATTTAAACAGGCAGAATGACACACAGAAATTTCCAGAAGCATATGTTTCCGTGCTCGACATGTTATGATATTGCTGTTTTGAAATCACATAATGTCGCTTTAGTCTAAGATATAAATACGTTGTGTCAGAACATACGAGACAGTTCTCGCAGTTTGTCCTAGCTTTCCACACATTAATTGTATAGACGTTAAAGCGAACAAACGAAAGTATAATATGTCTTCGATATTATATGCATTACAATTGGTGATACATTTTAATAATTTTACGCAGGTATTACGAAGTTTTACGATACAATTTAATAATTTTACGTTAGGTATTAGAAAGTTTTTTGAATTAATTAATTGAGGGAGTCATACTAAGAATTATAAATTATTAATTGTCAGTATCAGGTAATGGTGCGTCGAGTTATTGGAATGATAATAAAAAATCATCACTAAGGATAATATAATTATAAACTACACTGATAATTTAGAGCAGACATGTTTTGCATGGAGTGCAGAGGATGGGAATCATTTTAACTGATAAGACTTACTGTTGCTTTCCATGATTTTATGCAGTTGACGAAGATTATATATGGATAATTTGTAAATTATAAATTAAATATTGACAATGATATGTATAATGACAACGAGAATGATATCGATCTATTAATATTCAATATTTATGTCTATTCATGTCATATATTCTCCTTTTTTTGAAAAATTACTTTTTAGTGTAATAGAAATAATAATAGTAATAGTGAAAACATCAAAAATAATTAAAAGGATAATTTTTGCTTTGTTCGTTTTAGAAAAAAACAAGTTTGAAAAAATATAAAAAAATTGCTCATACTTAATTATACATAATTAATTTTTTTACATTTCTTTAAAGGACCCCGCACAAACCTTATGGGAAGTGGCCCTCGGTTAAATTCGCTCAAATTGATGTATGTTGTAGCCCTTAATGTTCTGATGAAAAGTCTCCATGGCCACAAAGCTTGAA